GGGGGGGGGTGCTGGCCCTTTAAGAGCAGGGGGGAAAAGGCAAATTTGGGGGGATAACCGCTGATTTGCTGCTTTTTTTGTTAAAAAATAGCAGTGTGAGGGGTTTACCATGTGCGGTTTTGTGTGTTAATTGGTGAAATCTTTAATTTCGAGGGGAATTCAGCTCTGGTGAGGAGGGAAATAAGATAAATCCCCAAAAATGAGCAGTTTTCGGGCTGGGAAGGGGGCAGGGGGGTTTGGGGTGATTTTTAGGGAATTAGGATGTGGTACCATGTTGGACCAAACCCACTGTTTTCTGCTCTTTTCTCCCATTTTCTCTGTTCCTCCTCCAGTTCTCCACTTTTCCCCTATTTTTCACCTCATTCCCTGTTTTTTCTTACATTTTCTCTTTTTCCTCATTTTCTTTTTCTCCCAGTTTTTCTTTTTTCCCTCTTTTGGCCCTTTTCCTCCTCTCTCTATTCCCTATTTTCCCCTCTTTCCCTTTCTCCCCTTTTTCTCATCTTTCTCCATTCCCCCCTATTTCCTTCTTTTCCCTCTTTTTCATTTTTTTTCCATTTCCCCTGTTTTACTCAAATTTCCTTTCTCCCATTTTTTCCCCTTTTCTCCCTTTTTACCCTTTTTCTCCATCTTTTTTACACCTTTTTTCTCTTTTCTCTTCTGTTTTTCCCTTTCTTCCTTTCCCCCCCTTTTTCCCCTCTCTTCCTTTTTCCTTCTCTTTCTATTCTCCCCTTCCTCCCCTTTTTTCACCTTTTTTCACATTTAATTCAATTTTTTCCCTTTTTACCCCCCTTCCCTCCCTTTCCTCCGCTTCCCCCCTTTTTTCTCTTTTTCACTTTTTCGGACTTTTTTAAACATTTTTTCCCATGTTTCTCCCCATTTTCCCCTGGTTTTGTTTTTTCCCCTCTATTCCCCATCCCCCATGCAACTTCATTGGGGTAAAATTGGGCAAAATTGGTCCAGCCCTGCAGGGCAGAACCAGACAGCCCCAATAATGACACAGAGGAGGAAGTTTAGGGTAATTCTGGGCAATTCTGCGGGATTTTGGTGCATTTTGGGGTATCAGGGCCATGGTTTGGGCTGCTTTGGGGACCTTCTATGGGTGTTTCCAGCTTTTTAGGACTGTATTTTGGGAAACTTTGGGGTGTTTTGGGGCTTCTCGGGGCATCACAGCTGGTTTTTGGGCTGTTTTGGGGCATATTTCAAAGCAGGATTTTCGTATGTTCCAGGGACATCTTTTAGGGCCTTTCAGGGCAGCTCTGGGGGGTTTCAGGGCTGTCTCCAGGTGACAGTTTGGGGTGTTTCAGGGTGGCATTTTTTGGGTGTTGTGGCTGCATTGTGAGGTTTTTCAGCCTGTTCCAGCTCAGCATTTTGGGGAGTTTGGGAGCATTTGGGGCATTGTGGAAGCGTTTTGGGGTGTTGGACAATTGAGGGGTGTTCTGGAGCATCGTGGCAGCATTTTGGGGTATTTCAAAAAGCTGGGCAGCTTTTTGAGGCTTTTTAAGGGGTTTCTGGGCAATGTGTCAGGGCAGCATTTTGGGATGTTTTAGGATGTCAGGGCAATATTTGGAAGCACTGGGAAGCTTTTTGGGGTGGAGTTCGGGGACAGCATTTTGAGATGTTTCAGTGTGTTCTGGAGCAGCATTTTGGAGCATTTTGGTCAGTGTTTCAGGAAAGCATTTTAGGGTATTTCCAGGTGTTCAAAAGGGATATTTTGGGGTAATTCGGGGGTCTTTTTTGGGTGGTTGAAGCATTTCAGGGTGGCATTTTGGAGCTTTGGGACTTTTAGGGGCGTTTTGGGGTATTTCAGGAGAACATCTGGGAACATTTTGGGGTGTTCCAGGGCAGCATTTTGAGGTGGTTTGGGGCCTTTCAGAGATTTTTGGGGCAGTGTTTTAGGATGGTGCTTTGGGCCACTTCAGGGAGTCATCATGATGTTTTTTGGTGGTCTTTTGGGACATGTGGAGACATTTTGGAACATTACATTGGCCTTTTGGCAGTGTTTTGATGGCAGCATTTCAAAATGACATTTGGGGGCATCTCAGGTGCTGGGGCAGCATTTTGGGGTGCTTTGGGGTATTTCAGGGCAATATTTCATGGTGCTATTTTGAGAAGCTTTGGGGTCTTCTAGGGCAGCATTTGGGGTCTTCTAGGGTATCATTTGGGGTGTTCTGGGATGTTTCAGGCGTCTCAGTGGTGTTTTGGGATTTTTGTAGGGCGTTTCAGGTTGTTTGCAGGGCTGCACTTTGGGATGTTCCGAGGCGTCTCGGCGTGCCATTTTTGAGACAGCTCTCTGAGAGGCAGCACTTTGGGAATTGCCACTCACCACCCACCTCCCTGCAGGGTCTGGGATGCTCTCACTGATGGCTTTGCCCCCCGGAGCTCCCCCCGGCCGTGGCTCCCTGGCACTGAGGCCCCCGACGGCACCAACCCCCAGGTACGGCAGTGGCCCCCCCTTGGCTCCCCAGAGCCCCCCTCTCCTCAGCCTTAATGACCATCAGGGCACTGCAAATTACCCAAAAATGGTAGTTTTGGGGTGCTGCAGCACCAGTGCAGTGAGTGTCCACATTTTAGGGTCAAATCACGCTGAAACGGGCAAGATGAAGTGTTTGGTTTGACAATCTGGGATTTGCCGGTTTGTCCCCGTGTCAGGGGTGGGGTGGAGTATTTTTGGGGGTAGGAAACAGTGGTTTCATTGTTGTGGTGAGTTTGTGCTCTCAGTTGCTGCTTTTGGGGTTGTAAAAACGCCCCAGAATCCACGGAATTTAACCCATTTGGATTTAACACAGCCCGTGGCTGAAGGGGGAAGAGACTTTCTTGGGTTATTTGCTTCTGAAAAGGTGAAAAAGACTGAAAGGTGGCAATAAAGAAGATGCCTCGTTGTCTGACATCTCTGTTCAGCATCTCCATCCATCCCTTCCCTATTCAGAGGTCCCCTCTGCCATCTCCCTGTCCCATGTCCCCACCCAGTGTCTCCATCAGACCATTCAGCTTCACCATCCCTCATCTCCCCATTCAACATCCCCAGCATCTCCATCCAGCATATCCAGCACCTCCTCACCCAATATATTTATATATATAAAACACCTCTCCATCCAGCAGCTCCATCCAACAGACCTGTACTTCTCCCTGCCTTCTTACTAGTCCGGTGTCTCCACCCAACAACTCTCCATCCAGTGTCTCCATCCAACAACTCTCCATCCAGTGTCTCCACCCAACAACTCTCCATCCAGTGTCTCCACCCAACAACTCTCCATCCAGTGTCTCCATCCAACAGCTCTCCATCCAGTGTCTCCACCCAACAACTCTCCATCCAGTGTCTCCATCCAACAACTCTCCACCCAGTGTCTCCCTATCCAACATCTCTATACATCTCCTTGCAACACCTCCCCTGCAGTGCTTCCCTGTTCATCGTCTCTGTCTCCAGTGGCTCTGTTCAAAGCCCCATCCAACATCCCTGTCCAAGACTTCCCCATCCCACATCATCCATCTCCATCCAGTGCCTCTGTCCAACGTCCTCCCACCCAACATCCCCACCCAGCATCTCCATCCAATACCCTCAATCCGGTGTCTCCTCATGCCACCCCCCCGTGCAGCGTGTCCCCCTGAGCCAGAGTTCCCTGGTGCCTCCCTGGGCCAGGGCCAGGGCTGTGCCTGTCCGTGCTGGGCTGGGCCTGTGGTGCCCCCAAGGCTGCCCAGCCTGTGTCTCCTGCAGCTCGGTGGGAAGGAGGAGGAAGAGGAGGAGGAGGAGGAGGAGCTCACTGAGAGGAGTGAGCAGGACTCGGGCATCAACGAGGAGCCGCTGCTGACAGCTGAGCAGGTACCCCCACCCCCTGGGCACCTGGATCCCTGCGTGTCCTTTAACCCCCCCCAGCCCCATGGCCATGTGCTGAAAGCACAAGGAAAGGCCAAATCCCATTATCTTGGGATGAGGATGTGGAATGTGGATGTAAAGGGAAGTGCAGGTGGTGGGTGCTGACACGGGATTTGGGTGCAGATGGGAACGTGGGGTGGGGGTGCTGGATAAAGTGGGTGGCATGGGAAGAACGAAAGGGGTAGGGGGACAGAGGTGGGTTGCAGCTCCAGGATGCTGGTGCAGAGGCAGGATGTGGATGTGGGGTGCAGGGTGCAGGTGTGGGATGCAGGGTGTAGATGTGGGATGGAGGGTGTAGATGTGGGATGCAGGGTGTAGATGTGGGGTGCAGGGTGCAGGTGTGGGGTGCAGGATTCAGGGTACAGATGTGGGATGCAGGGTGCACATATGGGATGCAGGATGCAGATGTGGGATGCAGGGTGTAGTTGTGGGATGCAAGGTGCAGGTGTGGGATGCAGGATGCTGGTGTGGGATGCAGGGTGCAGATGTGGGATGCAGGGTGCAGATGTGGGATGCAGGGTGCAGATGTGGGATACAGGATGCAGATGTGGGATGCAGGGTGCAGATGTGGGATGCAGGGTGCAGATGTGGGATACAGGATGCAGGTGTGGGATGCAGGGTGCAGGTGTGGGAGGCAGGGTGCAGATGTGGGATGCAGGGTGCAGGTGTGGGATGCAGGATGGAGGGTGCAGGTGCAGGGAGGGGGATGCAGAGGCAGCTGCAGGGTGTGGAGGCTGGATAGAGGATGCAGATGCAGGTGCAAGTACAGGATCCAGGATGCAGGAGGAGGAGGGGGGTGCAGGGAGCAGGATGCAAATTTAGGTGGGGATGCAGGTCCAGAGTGCCCACGGCATGTGGGATTTGGATGCAGATGGGAATGTGGGATGCAGATGCAGGATGCAAACGGAGGACCCGAGGTACAGATGAACGTAAATGGATGCAGGATGGAGGGAGCAGGATGCAACTGGAGGATGAAGGATGCAGGTGCAGGATGCTCAATGTCAATAAGAAGGGAGGATGCAGATGGAGCAGTTTGCTGATGGAGGATGCAGGTGCTGATAAGGATGGAGAATGCAGGGGCAGGGTGGAAATGGAGTCAGAGGATGCAGGGGCAGGATGAAGGGAGCAGGTTACAGATGTGGGTGCAGGACAGGGATGCAGAGGGCAGATGTGGGTGCAGGACAGGGATGCAGAGGGCAGATGTGGGTGCAGGACAGGGATTCAGGTGGAGGACAGGGATGCAAGTGCAGGCTGCAGCTGTGGGATGCAGGGAGCAGGTACAAGGTGGAGGTCGGATGCAGGTGCAGATGGAGGACACTGATGCCCCGCAGGTCATCGAGGAGCTGGAGGAGCTGATGCAGAGTTCGCCTGACCCTGAGGCTGACCCCGAGGGTGAGGAGGAAGAGGAGGAGGAGGACGAGGAGGAGGAAACTGAGGCTGATGCTGAAGGCGAAGGAGGTGGCGGGGGCACAGAGCCCATCCTGCTGCGGGAGCTGCGGGCTTTCTCCCCTGCCCTCAACAACAACTGCTCCCACGAAGGTACGGCCAGCAAAGCCCAGGCCAGTCACTTTTGGGGGACAATTCCAACCAAATTGGACAACTGAGTCTTCCCAGGCCTCAGTGCTGGCTTGCTCCAGCCAGAGGAGCTCTTGGCAAAAACTGAAGAAGAGAGGGATGTGGCTCAGGGTTCACCAGGAGCCTTCGCGTTCCACACGGAGTGCACCACGCGCATGAGATTTGTCCCTGGTGGCACGGGGTGTGTCACTGATCCCCCCAGGCATTTCACTAATTGCTCTGCTCGTTCCCCTAATTACAGAGCCCCTTTATCACACCACACGTGTCACTAGTCACGCCATGCATGTCACTAATCACAGCATACATGTCACTAATGGCGCCATGCACGTCACTGTGAGTGTCCCCCAGTGCACCTTGTATGTCACTAACAGTGCCAGGCAGTTCTGTAGCTGCTCTGGGCACGGCATTAATCGGTAATTGCACAATAGATTTATTCCTTGGTGGCTCAGGAAATGCAGAGCACATCTCGCTCGGCACGAGATGCACTTTAATGGTTGCCGTGTGCACTTCACTGGTTGCACCGGGCATTTCCCTGCCTTCATCGTGTGTGTCACTGCACCACGTCCAGAGGAAGCCACGGAGGTGTTCTGAGGGCTGGAGCACCTCTGGTGCAGGCTGGGAGAGCTGGGGGTGTTCAGCCTGGAGAAGAGAAGGCTCCAGGGAGACCTGAGAGCCCCTTCCAGTGCCTAAAGGGGCTCCAGGAGAGCTGGAGAGGGACTGGGGACAAAGGCCTGGAGGATAAGGGGTGATGGCTTC